CATTGACCACCAAACGTTTTAATGACGATATTCGTGACCACCAAACGATTCCGCGTCGATTGAGCCCTGTCAAAGTCAATTTGGGTGATAAATACAATTGTTCCGACTACGGCATTATGCGCATACGGTTTTTTCTATTTTCTGGGAAAGCGGTTGACCACCAAACGTTTTACTGGTGATATTCGTGACCACCAAACGATTCCGCGTCGAATGAGCTATAAAAAAGTTAAATTGGTTAAAAAATAAAAATTGTCCGGCTAACTTCACACCGGAAATTTCATTTTTATTTTACAGGAAAACGACTAACCACCAAACGATCGGACTAGACTACCAAAGACCACCAAACGACCACCAATCGATTCCAATTAATGAAAGTTCGATACGTTAAAGTTGTCCGGCCAACTTCATAGAGGTGGCCCCCTGCTTAGCGAAGCGAAAGGTAGCAACCTACAGCAACGTCAGCAACTGAATGGCCGCATTCAGGAAACACAACTGTTGACTGAGCGGTCAGTGATTCTTTAATATGATTGGTTCTTACTTTTGGTTCTTCTCCGGATCTAAGTGTAAGAACCAATCATAATGAGCGCTCACTCAACAGTTGTGTTGCCTGAACGCGGCCAATGTGATTGGTTCTTACCTTTGGATTCAACTAATTACACTTATTAATTGCTACCTTTCGCTTCGCTAAGCAGAGGTTCGGCTGAACGCAGCCAATGTAAACTTTGTATTTAAATATCTTGTATTCCTTTGTTAAATTTAATTAAAATTTTTTAATCTTATAAAATTGTTATCATAATTTCAGCGAACTAGTGATATTTCGACGTATTTTTAAGGTCATAACGTTCGGGAAAACGTAGGCGACAGGCACTGAACTAGTAATTTCGATTCGTACGCCGGTGTTCGAAATCACAGCATCGCAAATCTTGCCAACTGCGAGAGATTAAATTGTACGGTTTCATTACATGTCCAGAAATGTATCCAATGAAGCTTTCGCAAACCCATTATCCAATCGGAAAATTGCGTGGAGCTTGAGCTTGCCGCAGATCTTGGTGGGTTTGCGAAAGCTTCGAAAAATATTTACATTCGTTGAATCCACCTGAATCTTCAGCCTGACAATCTGATTTTATTATATCGGGAAATTATTTTCGGCGATAATGAATATCTTACCAAAGAAAAGGTGAGACGCATTTTCGCACTTGATTATATTTTGAAACTGATTGTTCGTATTTTGTATATTTAAAACGTGAAACCAATATTCGTTTTGTACCCATTCAGGTGGCATGTACGAACGAAGGAGAACATCGCTCGTGTGCGGAAAGACGAGGCAAAAGCTGCGGAGGAAGAGAGGATTAGGAAAGAGCGAGCTCAGAAAGCGGTACGCGATAAATTATCTTTCAAAGTTTCGATTACATAGATCTTGTATTTCACTAGTAACAATTGTTTCTCGACGTCATTACATGTATAATTAATTTAACATAATTGAGATCTCGCTTTTATTTTTTATCAGGAAACAGAAGCAAGAGTAGATTTGTTGAGACATCGAGCGAGAACCAATTACGACGGCCGGGCGGAGACCGAGACCACCAGTACCAGCAAGAAGTTAGAACACGTCAACTTCTTTGCGGAGCTCGAAGATGGAAAAATTGATTACAATAGACCTAACGTGGAACACGAGAAGGAAAAGAAGGAAGAGAAAGAGAAATATGAGAAGCAGATTGGATATTTGACGTATCTAGGGCAAGATACTAACGAAGCAACTGGGAAGAAAAATTGGTATGAGGAATTACCAAAGAGATTAACGGATACTGAGAAAGATGTAGAATTAGAAACGAAAAAGAAAGCCTTGAACGATCCAATGGTTGATATAAGGAAGTATCTCAAGATCATGCATTCTAAATCTGCCGAAGATCATGTAAAAGTAAAAACGGAGGCTGTTAAGAGAAAATGTGATTCTGATGGTTCTCACTCCGATCGTGAAAGTCACAGCACGCACAAAAAGTGTAAGGATAAAAAACACAAGAAGAAAAAACATAAACATTCAGAGAAGAAAGAAGTTAGGAGCCAGACTAGTACAGATGTAGAAAAATTAAGAGCGGAGAGATTACTCAGGGAGCAAAGTGAAAAGCTGAGAACTGAAGCACTATTGGCCAAAGTGAGAGGTGAACCAGTGCCCGTCGTCGCACCGGAAACTCCTAAACCTACCATAAAACAGAAATACAACTCGCAATTCTTCCCCGAAATTGCTAGACAAAATGCAGAGAGAACGCCCAAGTATCCTAGACATGGTATAGCAAGCCCTTAAAATACATTATTTCCTATATCTTATCTCAAAAGATTGTAATTATAATCTTGTTTCTATATTAACATGTAATAATATATATAATATGTATAGAAAATTGTTAAAATTTATATATTGTATAAACTGTTCAGAGAAGGCAACAGAAGGCTATTTTGGTTTCCTAGAAGTCATTTATAAAAAGAAATCTGAAAACAGAAAAAAGACCTCTAGACCTGTGTAATTTTTTGATAGACAACAATCATAGAACTCTTTTTAGAATGATCAACATAGGAGGACCTCATATGCCTGAAGACAAAAATAAGCTATTACACTTGTACAAACATCATGATGTAAATTGTAAATAATTAAACAGCCTCGAGTTTTCGTAAAAGCTAGATTAAAAAGATTAATAAAAAATTTTTATTATAAAATTACATTCCTTGTGTTTTATTATTAGATACTTACAATTGTTTTGTTTTTCATATATTTAATTATTAATATATATACATATATCTCCCAGAGAAGAGAATTACTTTGGTTATTGCTTCTCAGAATATTTGCTATAGAGAAAAACCTAAATTAAAAAGGTTTCTCTAGTTTCAGCCTTTGAGATGGGCAAGTCACATGATCACAGAACAGCTCTTTCTAAAGTAATCGCCAATGTCAAGAAGACACTGATATGGCATACTGAAGATATATTATGTGCATTTAGAGATATGGTATCTATGCATTTCTTATTCTATATTTTTTGTAAGAAGGGCTTGATTAAAAGTGTTTCCAAAATTTTTATAAATGTTGCCAATCCTCAGACGACTACTGATCATGAATTTGGATATCAAGACATGTATCGAAAGCGTTCTTCGCTGTGAGATTATATCCACACAGTTGCTGTCACTAGAATATTCATTATTCTTTACTTCTTCATTTTCATCAGAGTGATTATTTGTCTGGCGTTCAAGAGCGATCGATCGCTTCTCGATGACTTTAATATTTGCCATTCTGCATGATCATCGATCAGTTCTCGTCGTTCTCGACTAAAATTGTTACTCGAGTTTTGAACACAAGTATTTCTTCCATCTTCTTTGTATGAAATAATAAATTAATATCCTGCCTTTCCTTTTTGTGTATAAATCTCGTGAAAGCCTTGAAACTTTCTGGAACATTTAAAATTTTGTTGATCTCCCACGCCTTCTTTTGGATCATCGATTAATGGAAACTCTGTTACGTGGTTTCCATTGTTTTTTTTCTTGGAGAGGAGAAACCATTTCCTACAAAAGACATGATCAAGGCGACTATTTTCGACGCCTGTACATCATCTTTTTTCCCTAGCACATGATAAGCGAACTTCTTTATACTCGTACGCTAGCTTGACGCTTTTCTTACCATTCTCGAGCCGTTCTAAAAAGTCTTAACACGATCTTCGATGCTAAGTCGTGTTTGTTTAGCTTTCTCCTGGAAAAAAAAATAGTATAAGTATATTTTAAATACACACCATGTACACAGAAATACCGACAAAAATATTCTTGGCATATCAGTGACTTCAATGTAATTCGCATATCGACATATATACTTTCTTCGAGCTTTTGTTCTTCGCATACACGAATATCTTCTTGTATTTTGGAACTAAAAAAAATTTCTTTAATTTTTTTTTTAGCCTGAGTAAAATCTCTCGCGCGTCGAGGTTCAAAAGATTAAGCGAGAGGATTGGTTAAAGATTCAATTTAAGTAATATTCAACTTCGTCAAAAATAGAGTGACATAAGCAGTTCTAATCGTATTAGAGAATTTGTGCTACATAAGCCAAAGGCAGATTTAAATTGAAGGCGCCTTCGCTCCTAACCTAAAAGAGCAAAATCCTCTAAAAAAAAAAAGAATCTCGCGCGTCGCTGACGTCACTTCGCCGGCGATCCCTCTATCCATGCCTCCCTCGCGATTTCGCGCGCGCGAACGCAGCCGGAAATCTCGAACCAGACGCCCGCCGTGCGCGAGGTGCCTCGCGAGGACACGATTTCGAATTCGAATATTTTCGCGAACGCATATTTCTCTTCTCGTTCCCCTCGCTTTAAGTTCGCCGCGCATTGTGCTCGATCCGTCGACGGCGTGTCTCGGGCTTAATTATCGCCCGAGATATTGTTGGTTTTATTCCTGACCCGCGGAGATAACCTCGTCTTTCCGTGTTAATATTGCACATTTGGATGTTTGCATGTTTATTTCGCGATAAATAGATATAATTAGAGTATATTGAAACGAGTTTGCACAATTTATCGACTTTTTGTTACTGTCTCGGTAAGGACTGTTTAAAACTCTAAATGTAAAACTGTAATGGTCTGTGAGTTTATATGAATTGTAACATAAAATTAAGTTTTTTTTTTTTTTTTAATAAGAGAAAATATGGTACATTTTATAGGTCTCAAAGAGAGTGGTTTGTTTATTGAAATTTATGTTGCGAGTAACATTCGAGATAACTTGAGAACAGATTTTGCAAAGTGTCTGCTATATATTTTATTGACAGCCCATATCACACCATGGATTGAGAATATTGTGATTAAGACTGGATTGAAATAATAAAGAATAATAAAGAAAACTAATCTGAAGTTTAGTGAACTTTGCTCCGTTCGATCAAATTTCAATTCAAATCCGTCTGATACAGACTTAACAGAATGTGAGGATAGATTGATCGCAGAAATCCAGTAGAATCTGCCATTTCTTACTATTTAAATGATCTACTCAACTTAAGTGATTACAAAATTACGGATTCAGTTCGATTTCACTTAACAATCTGTTGTTAGATAGGATCCGTTTTTTCTATTGCTGACTGTGCTAGTTCAGAGTTTATCTTTTTCCTTTCAATGCAGAGTAAGAAAGATGAACTCTGAACTAGTGTCAGTTCAGCAATAGAAAACAGACCCCATTACGTCAACAGATTCTATTGGCAGAACACAAGCTTAATGCACCAGTTGATGCCAATCTGTTGTAATAATCTGTTAGCGCGTTGCTAACACTTTGTTTGCTGGAATGAAGTTAACTAATTGTGTAAACATCCAAAGTGTTGAACAGTTTGCGCTCAATAGTTGTTCCACGATTCCACCGGCGATGAGTGAAGAAACTAATGAAGTATCCTATTTGAGCTGTGATATAAATGGCACAAGGTATATTTACAAACTCGCACCCATGGACATTGCGAAAGACTCGGCGTCGAATGAGGAGCAAAATGCAGTCGACACTGTCAGGGGAACTGACAATGAGTTGGACAATGGAGACGAGCCGATTTTGGTGTGTTTGAACGGACAGGTGTACGCGATTAAAAATGGAGTGATTGAAGAATTGGACGCCGACCAGCCTGTAGAACGGATGAGTTGTCACGAAAAGACAATCTTACTGTCGAAGAACGCGGAAAACGACGAAAGTGACTACGTCACCAATGAGAGTATGGTGATCGGAAGTCCGTACAGACAGTCTGAGGAACAGTACGAGGCCGCTACAGAGGAAGCGGGAAAGGATCTTGTTGTGGAGGACGACAACGTTAACGTCGACGAATTCTTAGAAGTTGTGACCGCTTTCAAATGCAAGATGTGTACTTACCTGTCTCAGGACAAGATGCAATTGTTAGGTCACATTCAAAAACTACATTTAAATTCTGCTATCGCTACTAAAGTAAGTAGCGATTCATATTCTAAACATAAATTGCAATTTTAATTGAAGTAACTGTATTTTGCTTAGCAGAAGCTTATGTATTGCGATATAAAAATTGGCTTACTTTTATTATTGTATATAGCCAAAGGGAGAATCTAAAGTGGATGAAGTAAGAGTAGTTTATATGTGTGCGGAGTGTTCCAACTGCTTCCATTCTTTTGAGGACTGTAGAGAACACATGATTAATGTAATCATTTTAAACTTGACTTCTTTTGAAAGATAGGCTACTTTTGTCTGGGCAATATGATACAATGTATTTCTCTTAGGATCACCAGTTGACGGACATTGCGAGTGACGAAGCTGGAAAGGAAAATTTGACGGACCTGACGAATCCTGGCTTGATGACCGAGCACGAGAGCAACGAAGTGGAAAAAGGTCCAGTAAAAATTTCAAAGACCTTAAATTCTGAATATATGCGTAATAGAAATATGATAGAGACAGCGGACAGAAATGTGAAGTATGTAATTTCCTAAAAAATGTGTTGTAAAAAAAAAACTTATTTTCTTACTCGTCGTATTTAAACAATGTGCAATCTTTTCCAGGTGTTTTTATCAGGGCTGCCCGTACAAATTCGCCTCGGAAGAAATTATGCAACAACATATTCTCTACCATACAGAATCTGCGACGGCATTCAAATGCAGCATATGTCGAGATATGAAGTTTACAAAGTGGCGCCAATGTAGCTTGCATTTATGGAAAAAGCACCAAATCGGTTTGTGAATATATAAATAATGCAAGAAGCGTTAAGGGGATCCTAAAGCCGTCTGTAATACCGACAATCGTACTTTTCGCTTTACTTTTTATTGGCTTTATGGATTTGAAAAAATTTTGCACAGAATTAAAGTATGTGCTCTACTCTGTGGACGACCACCGATTTTGTAACAAAATAAGTAAATAAGATAATAAACAAAAATCCACTTTAACAATATTTGCTTCGTATAAAAATTCTACAACTTGATGTTACAAAATGAGGGTGCAGGTCCATTCAGTAGACATCAAGGAATATCATGCCGTTTGTAGAATTAGGCTGAGACTCCAAACAAAAAAGTTAAGCGAAAAGTACGATTACGTGAACGTAATGTACGTGATGACACCGGACCAGCAGTATTGCGTGTAGCGAGAGATGGCGCAGCAATAGAAACAAGGACAGATGCCTCTCGTTAGACAAGGACAGATATAAATATATGACATAGAAAACAGGATTAGAAATGTTGACATTACCGACATCGAGGAAGTTCGGGCTTCGCTTTAGGATTCCCTTAAGAGAATTCACATTTTTCACGCAGTCACTTTTCCCTAGACATAGGTTTGTTTACCTGCAAAATTTGCGAGGCCTACAAAAGTGCTACCATGGTGAAGCTCTTGACGCACATGAGAGTGCACAGTGATAGTCGTGACTACAAATGTTCCGATTGCAACAAATGTTTCAAACAAGCTAGCCAGTTACGCAACCACCGTGTAATGCATTTAGATCGCAAAACGTTAGAAGTAACTCGATGGTACACCTCGAAGAAATGCGATATGTGCGGTAAAACTTATGCGAACTCGAAATGTTTAAAGAATCACATTCAAGCTGTGCACTCCAAGCTACGTCCGTACGTTTGCAACGTTTGCGGTCATGCTAGCGCTAGAAAGGCAATGCTACAAATGCATTTGCGTCAGCACACGGGAGATAAACCTTTCAGCTGCGAGATTTGCGAATACAAAACTGGAGATCACAATACCTTACGACGACATGTTATGCAACACACAGGTGAGTGTTATATCTCAAAATTAACAAATTATGAAAGAGTAATTTGATTTTTTACCACACAGGATTTCGACCGTACAAATGCCCACATTGTACATATACCTCAATACAGAGCAGCAGTTATAAGAATCATTTAAAATCGAGGCATCCTTTACTTTTGGGCTTATTTACATGCGATCTGTGTCCTTTTAAAACGGTGAAAAATGAAAGTTACATCCAGCACTTAAAAGACCATGAAAAGGGTTTAATAAAATCTAATGTGCAGAAAAAAGGTAAGTAAACTAAGATTTATTGAACTGTTCGTGTCTAACTTGGTAGATATCTTTATTTAAATATTCTTACTACTTTCTTTACACGCAGATAACGAGAATGTCGAAGTCTTTCCCGGCAATATTGCAGCAGCGCAATTAGTTTATAGCTGTTTAGGTGCCTTTTCGAAAGATGGAGATACTTTAGAAGCTAATTTGATGTCTTCCTCAACGTCCGCTGATGGTACTTCTCAAACAATCACGATACAAATACCGTCGAAACATCTTCAGGGTTCATTATCATCAAGAGATAGCTTAAATAAAAATGATTCTATTGAGCAAGAGGATGACGAGACGATGCATTGCTTCTTAAAAATTCCTAGAGAAGAGGAAGAAAGCATAGACACTGGTGGTATAACAATACCTGCAGAACCTGAAGAAAAAAGTATTAGAACCATTGATATTGAAGAAACGAACATAACTACCAGTGATATTGAAGAGACAAATGTGACAAATATTGATATTGATTCCTGAGATTATGCAAGTAATACATAAAATAATAAATTAATATCGCATAATAAAATGTCCTCCAAAATACGTTCCTCCAAAACAAATGACATAATATTACATGTTATGATGACAAACAAATAAAGATAAGCTAGCCATGCGTTATTTAATAATTGTGATACTTTTGGATGTAGAAATATTATGGAATGTAAATTTAGAAATATTATTTTCTATCGTAATTTTTACGAAAAATTGTAATTTCCATTTGGAATTATTCTTGTTAAACAAATTACAAACTTACTCATTATATGACGTCAATGTGCGATATGTAAAAAATGTTTCAGATCATTATTTTCTTGCTATTTCAAAAACTTTATTTTACCATAATATTCGGTTTTTTTTTTCATTTTGCGATAAACATTGCAAATACAAATTGTTCATCATAAATAAAATAATTTTCAACACATTGTTCCATTTTTTTTAAATTTCTAAAATCTTAGCTAATCAAATTTTAGATATACCGTAAGGAATACTCAAAGATATATTTATTAATAATTAAAATTATATATGTATATATGGAAGAACGTACATAAAAAATGTAAGTTAATAGAATTTGGAAGTTGTAAAATATAAATTACATTATCCTTCCAAGTATATCTTACAGTATAGTTAAAATACTGGAGAGAACTGAAGAGAATTGTATCACGATTTTGGTTCTGACAAGTAAAAATAACTGGAAAAAAAAAAAAAATGACAACTAAAATATCTCTCATTTCTTCACGTAAATTACGTCTTGGCCAATTCACCGAAGTAAGCTGTACAAGCAGTAAACTTTCCATTGAACATGTTCTGCTGAATTTCCACTTTATCATACTTTTCAGCTAACATGATAATCTGTAAATATATTTAATTTAACATAATTAATTATATGTATATATTCTTCCATTTATATATACAAATACTAGTCTTATTTGTATTTAAAAGATTTTATTATTACGAACACAATTATTGCAAAAATTTTGTTTACCTGCAAAGGGTCTGAATTTCTAGGGAGATAATAGGCCACATGTTGTGTGATTCTTCTTGCTGCTTCGAATACACTTCTTCCACCAACGGGAGATATAATACTTTCGAGATCAAACACTCTTCTCTTTATATAGTCAGGACCACCCCATGGCGGACTTAAAAACACGACGTCCGCAATCAACTGTGGTGCTAATTGCAGGAAGTCTCCAGTAATAAATTCTATCCTATCGTCCACACCATAAATTCCTGCATTATGCCGAGCAATCTTAATTTTATTGGGATCGATGTCTATGGCAATCACTGTAAAATACAATCAGTAAATGTATTTTTGTCCATCAAGTCTTGTGCAAGTAGACATAGACCTACCTTTCTCACATGTAAATGCAAACTGTATGGAATTACTGCCTGCCCCACAAAATGCATCAATGATTGTGTCGCACCTACACCTTTCTGCTATATCCTTTGCTATTTCTTCCGGTGTCACAGAAAACCAACTCTCTGCAAGAAATACATTATTGCTTTACATATGCAACAAAATTTATCACTTTTAGATATGCGCGGAGATACATTTACATACCTCGATCCAATTTAATTCCATCTTCATATCTGCTGAAGAGGCCAAATCGTTTGATGTAATATTTCCATAGTTTATAGTCATTAGCTATCTCCTTCGGTAGGATTTTATTTAACCTTTTAAACTGCTTCCTTCTCTTTTTCCTTTGCATCATTTTTACGCTATCTTCATCATCAGAACTCGACGTGAATGCAGCTTGCGCCTTTGCGTAGGAACCTTTGTCGTTAGTGTGTAAATCAGCTTCCGCTGATATTGATGCTGGGTCACAAGATAAATACTTGTTTGCCTACAATCAAGCACAATGGCGCGTTAATAATTTGACAATTGAAAAACATGTTACAAGTCCAGAGGGACTGACACAGTGTACGGTTCTCTTTTTCGGCTTTTTCCTCTTTCACCTTCCTACGGTCCGACACGTGAGAACGCTCACGTGGGAATGCTTGAATGTTTCACGTGGAAGTGGAAACTGAACTATTTACTGCGCTTTATCGGCTTTATTTTACAATCCGTCTGATCTTTTTTGAAGAACGCCCTGCTATGGTGTACATCGGTGCAACAAGTCAGAGTAAAACAAAATATACTTGTCTCTTGTCTCACTCTAATTTATTGCACTATGTGCACCAGTTCAGGAAGTTCTTCGAAAAAGAACAGAGACGCATTAAGAGTCAAAGCAGCGCCTCTAGTGGTTAGTCATAGAACTGTATAACCAGCTCGTATCTAAACTTTATATATACTGTTTAATTTTTCTCCTTTTTCTTTCTAATATTTAATTATATATCTATTTTATTTTAAATGCAGAAAATATAATGTAATGCAGCTACAAAGAACGGTTTTATTTTTAGTGCTTCTTTAGAATGCGTCCAGTATCCAATAAAAGCAGACGTTTTCTATAGACTTTTAGCTAGCAATAGATTTGTTCTTTATAGCTAACTTTTTTGAATATTTTATTTATCATTCTCTAGTGTATACTGTGTATAATTTTGCAAAAATTATAATATGATACAGCTACAAAGAACAAATATACTTGAATATAAAAGTCAGACTAAATGAATATTTATAAAACATATAAGCCATGTGTCGACTCTTCTTCTCAATATATGGAGTGGTATAATTACAAATGGGAAAAATATTTAAATATGAACGACAAAGAGCTAAAACTTATGCGGGGTCTACGATGCGAGTCGTGAGTCGTGGGAAATGGACCAATTACAATCGAATTTGAGGAGAATAATTGACTGTGATTGATCAATTCTTACGACTCACGACTTTACGATTCGCATTGTAGACCTAGCATTATTTTACGTGAAAGCATAAATCCAAATATATTAAGCGGAAAAAGTTACCTTATTTGTATATCTGACGATTGTTTCTGCATCATCGAGAGTGGATCTATACTTAGTTTTCAGCCGTTTAAGTTCCGCCATCAATTGAAAACTTTGCCGTCTGATATTACGTTTCCGATAAACAACTTCACCTTGCAATTTTCTTTGGCTTTCATCCTCGATTAAATTGGCGTAACCCATTAATGAAAAGGCTTTTTTCACGGTTTCTAAACCATCTTCATTATCGTCACAATCAGCTTCGTAACTATAAATAAGAGAAATGAATTAATCTTATTTTATCTTTCATTTTATACTTATATGTCATATTATAAATTAAATAGTATTTTATTTCACTTTTTGAGTGTCATACACGTGGTAAAGAGTACTACATATTAGAATCATCTAATCTGTGACGTCGCATGAACAAGCAACGAGTTATCATTGTTGCTGCTACTATATCATTATTATTATTATACTATTTACCTTCGTTTGTGAGTTTCTTGAACCTCTTCATGAAATTCGTCTCCTCCATCAGAAGACTTCTGTTGATGACTATTGTCGAAATTGCTACTGGAAGCCATTGTTTCGATTTTGGTTTCAGTAACCATCGGATCTTGAGCATAAGTTTGTTGTGACTCTTCGTACATTTCTCCTTCCTCATCAATATCAATCGACTTATTTTCTTCCACTTTTATCGTTAAATTCTTCATAAGCACGCCCACTGAATCCATAATCAGCCTCTTTGTCTTCAACTTGGATTTTGAATGCGATGCGCTGCCCTTCCGCGAGTTTCTATTTCCAGAATTTACTTTACTTGGTGTAGTTAAATCAATTTGTACAGTATCTATACTCTCGTCTCTTTGATCTTCACGGGTATTAATCTTTAAAAACTCTTCGCTGTGTCTATCCTCTTGACGTTGCACCTCCTCGTCTTGTCGAAGTATAATCGGACCATCACACGATTCATTCAACGCGTTAAAATATAATTGATTATGGTCTATATTGTGCTCCTTTTTATAATTTACTATGAACAATTCGTACTGCCTTTGATATTGCGTCTCAAAATGCTCCTTCCACAGATGCTGCCAATATTTGTCATTATCCTCCACTGAAAATTCGTTCTCCTGCTCGGAGCTACTACTAGTCATGCTGCTTTCTATGGAACTTGTAACGGAAGTGAAGAGACTAGACGAATGAGCGGAATTGGAATCGCAACTGGAACTAGTTAACGTCATTTTGGTAACATTAGTCATGGAATCTGAGGTTGCGTTCGTTTTCGTTATTGAGCCATTAACGGAATCACATCTCATTAATAGCCTCTCATCTTCTGCATTAGAAGGATGATTATAATTTTCTTCTATACTAATTGGGCTTAAGGGATTCCAACCATCGCCTTCTTCCAGCGATATCTCGAAACTCAGAATTTTCTTCCTATTTTCGTCTGCATCTTTGTTATTAACTTCTTGCCTAGTCGCTTGTTCGAACGAGAAGCTAGTATTCGAAGAAGATATTGCTGCTGGCTTTAGTTCGCTGTCGCTCGAACAACTCTTATTGAAAATTCCTGCAAAGTTAGAACGTGCAAGTGCGCAATTCTTATGCGCTTGAGATGGGAAACACGTATTTTGCTCAAAATATCTTTCTATGGCTACTTCATTAATCTCCGCATCCTGCGACTTTTCGTCTTCTGTTGTGCGTGTATTATTTTGAAAATAATCAGGATTGATATAATCCGCATATTTTTCGATCCAGGATGCCCAGATTAGTTGCTCTCCGTGTTTAGCCCAAAACTTGGCCCACGCTATGTCCATTGCACTCTTATTACTGCCATAATCTGCAGAATAGGGATAAGCGTAAGAGTTATAATCATATTGTGTAATGAGATCTTTGTTGTGTCCTTCGGTATTTACTATAGTGGTACTGTCTGATAAATTTTGTACCACTGATTCCTTATCATCTAATGAAAAAAAAAAGTAAAATTATCAATGTAACATCTATTTCAATTCAAAATGATTTATAGTTTAAAACAATATCTCTAAGACTTTTAATAGCGCAATTACCTGATACATGTTTATACTCAGTCATATCTACATTTTCGTATTTGTTTTCAACCTCCGTTTCTATAGTTTGAAAAGTTCTTCCATACGATGCTACAAGATTCTGTATACTTTTTGCCTCGTGCTGATCGTGATATTCGGATAAGTCTGCGCCAGAATCCGACTGGTGCAGACCTAATTTTTGTGTCAAGGAATGTGCAGTGGGCCAATGAGCCGAATCGCGTACAGAGTCATGTTCGTCCGTAGAATAATTGTTATCTGTGTGAGAAGCGCTGCAGTAACAGCTAACTGGTTCTTCCTGCATAAAAAAAAATCAACAGCTAACTTAACGCAGTAAAAACTAGTGGCCAATTAACTACATTTCACGTAACAAATTGACATTAATAAGTGACAAATATATCATACATCGTGTTTTTCTATGGATTGTGTCTCTACTCCGGATCCCTTGCAAAGATCTAGCATCTCTCCCACGTAATCCCCATCGGCATCTTCCCCGTCGCTGGCATCTTCGGAAGCTAAGACGGTATAAACCTCAGGGTTCCTAGAAAGAATAATGGCATAGGAATGCAGGACTCGTGAGAGTAAGGGCAACGTTACTTGAACTAAATATGGGAATTTAAAAGCAAGAATAGATACTTTATCCTACTTTAAATTAAATTAAGGTTCTCATTAATCTTCTCTTTCTTTTCTCTCACTATTATGATTTTGTCAATGAATTTCCTAGTTCTATTAAAAAACAGTGGATCATCTTGCTTTTATTTACAAGAGTTACAAGTCGATGTAAATGACAAGTTTGACAAGAATATCTGTTTCTAAACTTTCTATTATTAAAATACATTAAAACGATGATAAAATAAGTCATTAATCAAAGCTTTTTAAGGAATTTTAACAAATTCTAAAAAATCTTGACAAATCATAGTGACCATAGATGTGGAATTTATAGGAAAAAAAGTTCATAAAAAAATACAGGTGTATTGTTAAATTACACCTGAAAAAGGTGTATCACTCCAGTAAAGGATAGTATCTCTTCTGCGAAATTGCTATATTTTTGTATACGCTTGGTGCAAGACACCACCGTGTCTTAATTAGACAATTGTTGTTCCACTGATTTCAGATATTCAATTTATCCAATGATATGACAAACAATGCAAAGTACAGGGTGAAATCCGTTGCGACCCACTCGCAGCGGATAGACCAGTGGATGTCAAGGTTAAATCATGCTTCACACCGACGCTGATCAATAAGCCCGTTAAATTCTCGATAGCGTTTTCGTTACGCCCAAACGAATGCCTGACGCACGCTGGACATTTTACTCTCGAAGGGGTGGACGAAACGTCGCCGGTGGGGGAGGGGTGACGGGAGGGTGCGACCGACCGGGCGTGCTTACCGGATAAATATTCGGCTACAAAGACAGTAAATGTAATCATCGGGATCGGTGGACTCGCGATCCGCGATGTAGATCTCGGCTAGGGGCTCCCAAAAATTGTCGCACATCCCGGAGCCGGGGCGTCCACTCTGTCTACCGCGTAATCGTCAATCGTCACAAATGCGACATGCCTCACGCCCGAATTTCACGATCGCCGCCGCGCAAAAACAATCCGCCAGTCCACGCCAGGCCGCTGAACGATGCAGCATCGCGAAGAGGTCCTGGTATAGGCCTGCCAGAGAGTAAAGCTACGTTCATACAGACGTACGTGTGACAACTCGCGCGTCTACAATTGGTCAGGCGTTCCGGGGTGTACTAAACTGTACTGAAAATGTACAGTTCACGTCACGTTCGCTATAGATTTTCGGAATTGTCGGTACATTTTGCTTATACACTTTGGATCCTTGCAGCTGCGCTCATAGTTTCTACTTTCTACACATAAAACAGATTGATCAGACAAAATTAATAGATGAATTAGATGTAATTATTATAGATAATTATTATAATTGTACATACATTGTAGAGAGAAACGCAATAGATAAAAAAATTTAACTACAAAGAACAAATCTGTAAAGAGCGCAGCAATATGGTATAATATTTCTCAATTTCTTTGTGTATAAACATTATAAATGCACAACTTAATCCAGGTGAGATAATTACATTTTATAATCATCCAATTTTAACGCTGGGATATCAGATGTTATGATTGGTTATCGAAAAGTATTCGTAATTTTTGTCTCAGAAAGTAATTATAGAATTTTTCATTATTAATCGTAATTATAAGCTGATTCTTCCATGTGCTATTGCTTCCTCATAGAGGGCGCTTTATTGTTTTCGTTGAAAAAAATTTTTTTTTTGTTTTTTTGAATGTGTTCAGAATGTTCTAAAACGTTGAAAAATTGCAATTTTAAAAAATGTCTGTATGATGTGTGTGTGTGTGTGTGTGTGTGTGTGTATGTGCCAAATTTACCGAAATTTCTATAACTCCAGAACTAATCAACCAAATCTTAACGAATTATATATGAAATAGGGGTAGAAAAAACTAAAGAATATAATAGAATTAATAAAAATTGCTAATAATCAAAGGGTTCTTTTTTAAAAAATTTTTGAATTTTTGCTCTGTTGTCCGTTAAGGGGATGCTGGAGCCGTAGCCGAACTCGATCGGCGTCGGTAAAGAAGACCGGCGAACTATATCTGTCCTTGTATAGACAAAGATATAGACAAGGATAGCACGCTACATTGCACGCACACATACGCACGATGCACACCGACATTATACTTTTATATTACGCTTCCAAATCTTGATTTGGGGGGTTTATCGATGTTTTTCTTGTTGTGCAATTCGGGGAAACTTGTTTTCGCGTTCGTACCAATGGTATATCTCTTATATGAAATACATCTTGTGACGAGCTGACAGCTCGCCGCAACTCGAGACGCCATATTGGGATAAGAGTAGGATAAGGAAATCTGTACTTCCGTAATTTTTTCTCGTTTTCTATATAAAATCGGAGTTTCCCCGAATCATTAATGTATGTACTGCAATTCTGGAGAAAAATTTTTAATTCTGTCAAATTAATACGACGCTACGTGCCGACAAAAAATGCCGGTAAAACAGACGGCTCCAGCATCCCCTTAATGCTCTAACTTCCGTAATTTTTTAGATATCGGAGTGCATTTTTTTTTTAATCGATAGAGGCTACGGTCAACGTGACGCTACAAATGCTTTGGAGCGTTTTTCTTCTCTTTCTTTCTTCATTGAAAGAAAAGAGAAGAGGAATGCTTCGAAGCATTTGTAGCGTCACGTTGACCGTAGCCAGAGTATCATGTAAGGAAGGTTGGCATTGAATTTGGCAATGATCGGTAAAGCGGTTTTTTTTAAATAAAATTTTGAATTTTTATAGAAATGTTCGTTTATGCTTTAACTTCCGCGGAGATATCGATCTATTTCTAATTTTATTATATTTTTCAGTCTTTTCTACTCTTTTTTCGTATATAATTTTTTAAGATTTAGTTGATTAGACCCAGCTTTATACGCGATCAAAAGTCCATAATTTTGATCGCATATAAAGCTAAGTCTAATCAACCAAATTTAAAAGAATTATATATGAAATAGGGGTAGAAAAGACTGAAAAATATAATAAAATTAGAAATAGATCGATATCTCCAAATTTGCGGAAGTTAAAGCTTCCTCTATGAGGAAGCCAAGTGCAAATTTCTAATTTGCACAATTTTTAATTATATGTGATTTTACGCAAGTGTCTGGACAGACCTTGTCTTTTTGCAGACACGTTTGTTGTTGCAAAGTTACCAACGACCAGTCATGTCAATCTCCGATTATATCTGTAGGTAATCAATGCAAACTTAATCATCCAAATTTTCATCGAATTTGGGGCTGCTCTAACAGCATATTTCACTGATTTGTTCATGTTCATTATTTCTCATGTTTATTATTTTTCGTTTTAGCATATTTAATGAAAAATCGCATTATTATGTAATGAAATTTTCAAATTACTCTCACATTGATATATAAAATAAAAATATTTTATTGACATAAGATAAGGATATTTCACCATCGATAAAAGAAAGAGACGAATTTAATAATCAATTAAGATAATTGTCTTGAACTGATAATCGGTCATTTTCGTTTAATGATAATTAAAAAATATTTAACAATTAAGTGTGTTGATATTGGTTTGTATTCCATAATATTTATGTAGTGTAAATAACGCGAAAGACTCTAAATATCAATCGAGACAAAAGTAATTTTGACAAGATTATTGACGCATCCGAAATCTTGACTGGAGCTTGCTGCCATCTAGGACGCAACTGTAATTTTCATCACTTTGCTTTAATCCTTTGCAGTCAAAATTATTTCTTAAAAGTGAACAAAGATCAAATCGTTTTGATTTTGATTTAATTTAATCGGCGGATTTAATATAAATCAAAGCATGTTTATTATTTTGAGCAATTTATGTGGTGATGCTAAAATTATAATTTGCTAATTAAAATCATATACTGCGAATGCTTGGAAAATTATGCAAAAATTACTACCGCAAGTCATTACGTTAACTCGATACATAGAATTGCAAAGAGTTAAGATAAATCTTTAATCTCCTTAAAAAAATTGTCGCAGTATGTACATACATCTATATAATATTCATTTTCTCTGATATACAAATGAAATACGTATAATTATCATATACTCTTATACTACGTTTACGCGAGCGTTACTTCTGTAGTAACTTATGATAATTCACCCGTTTATGCGGAGTAAATTATCGTAAGTTACTACAAAATCCTGTTTATGCGAAGGGAAATCCCGTTTACGCGAAGAAATTATCGTAAGTTACTACAGAAGTAACGCTCGTGCGTAAACGTAGTAATAGTCTCTTAATTCTTAAATAATTAGGTATAACTTTTAAGAACATTATTAACGATTATTATCATTATTACAGTCTTTACATAATAAATTTAATTAATTTTTGTCCAAAGATCAAACTCTGTCCCGAGGGAGATTGACGCGTGAAAGAAACACCCGACAAGTGGCGCTATCCGCGGGATGCTGCGGAATCTCGCGTGCGCGAACGGAGCAATGGCGTAGGCGGTGATCCGTGTGATAAATTAATTTTTATTACTTCGTGGGTGGCGGCTCTTACTATTGGTCGCCGATCAGGTACCTCCTACTCTTCAACGGAACCCTCGCCGGCATTATTCTGCGCGGCAACGGCGATAGAGAACGGTGTGCGTGATTTGTCTCGTCTTAAGGCGAAGCAGGACAAACGACTGCGCCGCGAAGATCGGGAATTGCGAATATTGCGATGCGGTTGACACGACAATGAAACGAAAGTTCATGTATCTCGCGGATAATTTCTCCGCTGATTCCTTCCGCAGATCGCGCGTGAATTTGTTCATGTCTTTTGTATGAATTTCACAATTGATCGGTGCTAAATCGAGAGAGAGAGAGAGAGAGAGAGGGAGAGAGAGAGAATATGTTTCAAATAAAATAGCGAGACATCGCAAAACTGAATAACAAGAAAAATAAGCTATTATTATGAAGTTATTGTTTTTTCGACGATAGTAATCATTGTTGCAGTTGCAATTATTTGATCGAGTATTTGTGAGATGGCTAATATTATAGTCAGCAAAATACCGAATATAAACGCGACAGCCCAATTTCTATTATTTGGAGGAGAGGAAAAAAAAACGTTTGTTTTTAGAAAGTAACAAAGGATTCTATGAGAGAACAACTTGCCTTACTATACGCGTATTGAAATCACCACCGATGCAATCAAGCATTGAAATTACTGGAAGAAGAGCACGTAGCACGTCTCGCATTCGTTCTGATTTCATCTTGTAGCGAATCCAGCATTCGAAATTCTTTAATAATAATATAATATAAACGTGATATAAAACATCCCCGATTGATAAAACATTATCATATATTTTTAACAGAATATATACATTGAGCATTTTATCGGTGCTTTTAGCATTTTATCAAGTGCTGACATTTTGCTTTTGCATTTTCATGAAATAATGCAGGCGACCGAATTTACTGTCAAATATCCACACCCTTCCATTATTAACATGTAATTATTTTAATCGATACACAAATTAAATACTCTATCAGATTATTTCACGTAACTCTATTAGCAAGTTGACGTTAGCTTGCTAACGCGACAAAAAAATTTGTCGATGAGTCAGGAAAAGAATCGCAGATTTCATAATTTTATATTGTTTTAAATTACAACAACAGACTGATCGCACTCATACATAGACTGAGCATTCCTATTGAAGAGCTATAGGGAAGATGTAAAGGATATATAGGAATGCTCGTTAAGATGCTGTCCTTGTCTAATTGTGTAGTTGGTGGGGAGAAGGAAAAGTAGAGAAACAAGGAAACAATCCCAGCAAGCATATATCTCTGTTCTTTAGATCGTATTTACACCTCTCCAATGGCAATGTTCAGTCTATTATAAAAATCTCAGGTACACGCAACTCACAACTCGTGTGTTTGCGCAAAAGAGTCATGGTGCGATCTCGCTTTGCGTGTACTTGGCGCAAGTCACTACCGTGTCTCTTGATACTCATATCTGCTCATATCTTTACACTGAAAATAAATTTATTATTTGCAAGAAAAAAAAATATATATATGTATATTTCTTTGAATTTAGTTTCCTTAATTCAAAGAAGTATTGGGTAGATTTAAGAAAACATTTTCCTGAGTTTAAAATATTTTCTCGAATCTATCTAATATTTTTTTGAATTAAGGAAACTAAATTCAAAAAAATATATATAGGTATATAGATATTTTTCTCTTGCAAATAATAAATTTATTTTCAATGTAGGACCCTTTATTTATTTTATATGATTTACAAAATAAAAGATAGTTAAACTCGTTACAGTTGCAGCATCTCATAATGTTTGTAATTGTAGCGCGAACATTTGCAAATTTAAGTGCGCTACCGCGATAGTGATCTGATCTACGTATACTCAGAGCCACACCTGTAGGTCGGCTGGTGTAGTGTAGAAAAAATGCGCAAGCAATAAAGCATATACGATGTGATAGTGTTTTCCTCGATTACATTTACGAGATGGCTGACTGCTATAGTTACACTAATCACTGTTTAATGTTGCATCGCGCCTTGTTTTACTGCGTCAACGCAATTTCCGCAACATAACTCACACGTTCTTCGATTTGATCCGAGAGACCATGATTCTGATTATTTCACTGAGAATGTATAAAACAATGTAGAAAACAAATTTCCTTGAATTGGTAACATTCTTAATTTTGAGCTTGTAGGACGAGATTGGGAATGATCATCACAAATTGATAAAATAATTTTCTCGGTATTATGTAAGAGATAGAATGAGTTTGTTACGGTAAAGTTGACTTTGTATCGTGATAAATACAATTATAAAATCATCTATAATGGTTCAGTTTAAGAAAACAATATAAATGGAATCTAGAATATACACGCTATAATTAAAATTTTATTATTTTCCTTAATGCTATTTTTGGAAGTTCTCTCTATTTTGAGGCAGTTATTTACTGGAGTTATCTCAAGAGTTATTGTTATTTCGAAAATTATATACTAGATATCGTGCATCACATAATTATAATCTTACTTCTCATGTATCCACTTATTATCACGACCATTATCATGGATAAGGGATTAATAGAACATTAGCGATGTCTAAAATTATGCCCGAAATTTACTTTTGCCTTTCGACTTACAAGTCTTCGGAAAACACTATATATCAGTTCAATGAAATGCAAATATCACAATCAATTGCATTCGTTTTCGATTGACTCAGTTTTCGATGACCGATACCACTTACGCGACTGTTTTGAGATTATGTTATTAGAGCGATAACGTGATAGCGAGTATTCTAAGTTCGCGATTTGTCATCGTGCAATCGACTCTTTTCTCTTTTTCTGGTTGTTTGCGATGGCGATAAATCGACGTTTTCACGTGTTCCGCGAACGCGAATTTAAGCACAGGGATGATCCCATGATTTTTCGAGAGAATCACGGCATTGTAGAGCGAAACGGAATTCTGTGCCGCAAATCTGCATAAAATACCGCTGGACGAGAAGGAGGGCAGTTGTATGGGACCGGGGGAGAGAAAGAGAGAGAGAGAAGGAGCGCATACGTGGTGTCGCTCCTCGCGGTCGCGGGAGAATCGTGGGCTCCTCGCGAGAGAAGCAGGTTGTAGCTGGATGGTGGGGAAAAGAGACGAATGCAAGGCGGATAGACGGCGGAGGGACAAAGTACAAGAAACGAACAACTGGAATGACGGAGAGGAATGAGCGCGCGAACGAGCGAGAGGGAAACAGCTGGACCGTCCGTGTTGCCTCCAACGCGGCGCGCGGCGCGGAGAGACGGATGCTGCGGCGAGGCGGAGATCGAGAGGGAGAAGGAGAAAGAGATGGGGGAAGATCGGAAGAGATAGACAGATAGAAGGAGCAAGAGGACGGCAGTGGGAAGGACGGCGGCGCGAGAGAGATCGGGCCGGCGAGGAGCGAGGAGGACGACGGAGCGAGTATAGTCGCGAGAAGGCCGCGGTAGTCTTTCTCGGCTGGCTAGGTGAGATAAGGACGAGGCAGACAAACGGACTGACGAAGGTGCCTGAGGTAGGGATACTCAGTCTCGCGGCCACGTGCTACACGAGCGCACGCCCCGAGCCGGCCGGCGGTCCAGCCAGCCAGCCAGCCAGCTACGACACCGTTTCCTCTTCTTCCTTGTTCTCGTATCATCCCGTGCGCGCTTCCTCCCAGTTCCTCCCATCCGTTTTATCTGTCCGTCCGTCCGTCCGTCTCCTTTTGTCAGACGGAAACCGTCGAAAAGTCGCGCGACGTAGTCCCGAGCGCGATCGAGCATCGCGATCGATCTCGATCGGTGGTGGTTCTCCAGCATGCTCCGGTAGGAGCATCGCGCGCGCAGTGATCTCGAGGAGATATCGGAAGGACACTCGGCTACTGTGATCCGCGCGGAGGGCGATATCCTCGTACTGTGATTCTTCCCGACGGATGATCCGCGTTTCTTCTCTGCCGGAGGATATTTTCGACACCAGTGTGTATCGTATAGATGAATATCGGATTTGGTGTAATCGCGACGTTACCGTATAACAACAGAACTATCACGTACTGTTTGACAACACAGTGCGTGGATGAAGAGCGTGTGTCGAATGTGTGCTTTCTGTGCTGGATAAGGCAATGACGTGTGCTGTCACGGCGGACTGACATGCGTCCGTAGGTGCGACGCGGACGGTGCGGATAATTAAAGGGTTTGATACGGAAGTGTATCGAGAGGAAGAGGAATAAACGCAAGTGTGGAGAACATCGCGTAGGTATGTATATTGACATATATACAGTAGGTTTAAAATTGCCAGTGTGCGGCGGAATCGTATTATAGGCAGATCTAGCTTTTGAGCTTATTGTCAGTTATCTTGTTTTCTGAAAAGAATGGATGGGGATCTAAAACTCGTAAAAGTAAAACTATTACAATCTGTCCACTTTTCCTCTTTTCTCGCATATTTGTTATTATAGTGATTTAATGGAATAAAAATAGAAGAAAGCTTACAACTTTATAAGAAATATTTTATAAGAGATTGATCAATTATCGATTTTTTGCGGAAGAGCTTAAGAAACTTTTCGCAGATCCGCCTATACTTCCTTATGCATTCTTATTTTTTATTATTCTACATATTCTTCAATATTCTTAAACGGTACCGCTTCTCTGCTCTTTTTTAAATTTATTAAAAGCAAATATGTCCGATGACTTATCGAGTGAATTAGATTAGTTGGATTGTCATTTGAATGACAGAATCAAGATTCCAGTGACATTTCACACAATCGCGCGAGAAAATTTCAGGTGTCGTGCGAGATTAAAGTTTATCTTCGCTCGGTTACTTATATCATAATTTTTTGATATAACATGAACACCCGTGTCTCTCTCATATTTACTGAGTAGCAATTAACAAACGTGACGTTATATTCTTGTGGCAAGTTTGACGTAGTGTCAGATGACGATAGCACGATCATTTATTTAGCCGTCTCGATCAAGAACGTAACGATATCTCTGATACAAAATTGCAATCTTCCATTATTTCATTTATCAAATACCTGTTACCTCACCCTCAATTAATCTCTCGCGTTGAAATCGAATTATAATCTGCGTACTTAACATATATCGGCTAAATCTTAGAAATAAGTTCGACGCTTTCGGCATTCAGACACGGAAGCTTTTAAAACGATGATAATTTGTGTCGCAGAAGATTCTCAATTAAAAATTTTATATCCACGATATAAATACTGTACTTTATAGCCATAAGTTCGCGGTAACTTATGTAGGTCGATCTCAGTGCTCGCGATTAATAACGTACACGATTGCGAACAATTTGACAAGCCAGCAACTGGTGCCGTTACACGAAAAAAATCGATTCAGACCTCGCGGGTCAGTTACGATTAATTTGTCACAGCTTAGGGAGAAGGGAGGGGGCGCGCAACAATTCCAACTGTCTGCAAGCCAGTGCTGATATCCGTATGACGTGCCGCTTATAACCGGTTCATTAAAGCTGCAGTCCGCTTGTCACTCATTGGTTGCCATTGCGATCGAGATGTTCATCCGGCGAAAAGAAGAAACTGTAAAAAAAAAAGGAAAAGAAAGAGAAGTGACGTTTATATATACACAATGTATATGGATGATGTCTTTGACGCACGAATGTATCTCATCTTTAATCGTTATTATTACGAAGATGAGTAGAGGCAAGTTGATCATGAACACAAATCTTTGTCAGATGGAGAAAAATTATTGTCGGACAATCGAATTATTAATAGTAAAATAGGAGTGGCGGTGGCTTTCGCAAAGCTGGAGGAATCGATAAGAGAGTCAACAAATCGGCAACGGAATCGTCACGAGGAACCGTTAGAAATTATATCGCGAAATAAATTTGCGTGCCTCGAAATATTTCAATAAATCGGCGCGCGATCTTTCACGGATTAATTAGATGCCACGTGCCCCGGCAAATAGCGAGATATTTTGGAGTATGGAAAATATATTTAAGCTTTTGTATATCGTATTGGATACCGGTAAGATAATTAATTCGAGATTCTCAGTTTCGATCGGGCGCACTTCGACCCGCAACGGAACGCGCTTTAAGTGCTGGTCTACAACCTTGCTTTAGAGGGTATTTAAGCTCTAAACCGTAAGAAATTGACCACTCACAGTCGAGGATTTTCCTCATATTCCACTGTGATTGGTCAATTTCTTACGGCTTATAGAGCTTAAATACTCTTTAAAGCAAGGTTGTAGACCAGCACTAATGCGACGCAGAGCGGAACATTGTTCCGTAACGTCAAATGTCAAAGCTCGTCGATCGATCGCCGTTGCGGCGAAGATTTAACATCTGACCATGCGTGCCATACGGCGCTATTATCTCTCACCGGCGCGCCGCTAATTACGCTTTAATACCCTAATTATTTCACAGATTAAGCTTACAATCGATATTACGATCGCCGCGCGGCTCGTAATAAAACTATTCGTGCTGATCGTTCACGCAACCATTTATTACCGAACGAGCGGGAGGGTACCGCGCGCGCGCTCGCGCTTACGTTTGTCTCGTACGAAGAAGAAACGATTTTTCCTTCTCCCGATTCTTCAAGGATGGTGCCGCGATACGCGTAAATATCGAGAGACGTGGAATCGCACGATGACAGCTGAAACATATCGGCGATGACGGTGTGCGCCGGTAATAATCGCAAGCGCGAAACGTGAGGAAACGAATGTCCTTCGGCGTCGCGGCTAATGAAATACACGCTCGTGAACGTGGCTCAAAAACGCAAATAGGAAAAATCCTGATGGCACCCGATGGTCAGTCGCCGTCGTCATTGCCGTCATCGTTGCCGTAACTCCCGCGAACGATCGTGTTTATCGCCGCGTTACAATTGCGCTACCACCGCGCGCGCGCGTTAATCCGTGAAAACAAGGATTTATCGGAGCCGGAGCGCGGCGAGGCGACGATGTATTCAACGGAACCGGTCTTCCGCGGGCATGTACGGCTGTTAATTAATTTGTCATTAGTCAGCGCGGAAAGATGAGAGGCGCGCAATAAAATTTATCGATGGCCGCGGCGGCGGCGGCGGCGGCGTGCCTCCTCTTTGTCACGGAAGCGGCCGATTAAGTACGCCGATTTTATTTTAATAATACGCGCGCGCGGGAGCAACGCGCTCGTCCGATCGCTCGCGAAAACGATCGTTCAGTCATATTGCGACGATTTTTTAAATTAAAGTACACCTCATATTGTTTCTACACCATACGGCAATTATTTTCCTCTTCTCGAGATCACGCAAAGGTAATTTTGTAAATGTACTGTTGTAAATGTACTATTGTAAATGTACTGTTGTAAATGTACTATTGTAAATGTACTGTTGATGTACTGTACTGATGAAGTATGTAAACAATAATTTCTCGTTAGTTAAGTGCCGAACTGTTATTGATCACATCCCGGGAACAAACTATTCTTATAGAAATGTTTCCAAATACTGCAAAATAGAGTCGGTATAGCAATTGTAGGATATGTAGTTATTGGATGTTCAAAAGTCATTTTTGCTATGAATTATTACTGGAAGCGAAAATAAAGAAGAATCTCTATTGTTTCAACATTGTACTAAGACGATTACACTTTAAATAGCGTCAAATTATTGCGAATCGATAGAGTTTTGGATAAATAAAGCTTCGTCAGCTGGTGGATACTTATTCGTTAAGGTCTCCATTAATGATCTGGAGTAAATACAGCAATTATCCTTAACATATGCCATCGCAGCTTATAACGCGTTACAGTTTAAACTTAATAAACTCGTAGAACTTAACGCAATTCGCGTGCTTCAATTATAACCCATGAATACTAGAAATCTCGTGTATAATCTTTACTGCTATAGATTCCCGCATATATAACGCGATCGTGTTGCAATTATATGCCAATATTACTCCGTAGATCGCGTAGATTAACTCAACGCGGCGGCGCCAATTACCGCGTTCCTAATCGTGGCTTTGTGATCGACCAGGGAAAATCTCAGTATCCTCAATTAACGTTTACTTTCAAATCGCATCTTGGAACTGGATTAATTCTCCGGGCTACCGCGTCGCGATTATTTCTGAAAAACCCGGAGCACGGAGATTTACTTTTTGAATTACTTTTTGCAACGGACGGAATACATTAGTTTCCACGACGTATATTTGTGACATTTACTTATGCCGTTCCATCTCGAGTTGCGCGGCCGACGCGAGTTTCTTTTCGACGAATTGAAATTAAACCTCGGTAATCAGAAGTGTGTGCACGGTTTACACGCGCCGGTTGAGTTCCCACGTGGTGCGCGGGTCGAAAATTAATACGTGGCAGTAATTAGCTCTCGTATTTATGCGTCTCTCGCAGGGCGGCCTGCGTTAACATTGGTGATGGCGTATCGTTACACCGTTGTAAACACGACATGTTATCTCGAGCGATACCGAACCCGGGATCTCGGGGAGAACGTTCGGCCGATTTCGGTGGACCGCGCTCTCTCTGTCTCTCTCGCGTTTCTGTGTCCGCGATCCACTCGCTCGTATTCTGGAATAATTATTATACAACGCGCTGATATACGCCACCTTGAGCGCTCGTTCGCCGTAAAAATACCGCTTTGATAGTGGGAGATATGTACGCCGTTAGCGTACATTTGGGTGTTCCGTCGCTGGGAGGTGGCATTCCTGCAGAACGCAAATACCTTGTATAATGTATTATATAGCGAATGAATCGCCGAATTCGAATAAGATATTATGATCTCGAACATGCATGGTGAGCAACAGTAATAGATAAAATATTCGAAGCTTGTTTGGAGGAAGTAGTTATTATCATCACTTAACAAGCGACACTAGATGTTATCGAGAGATTATTCTCGAGAATTATTTGTTCGTCTTTTTTTTTCTTTATCAGACCGGAAGTCAGGCGCCGCGCGTGAACGTTTCAGCGATAAGCGCGGCGACACGCGAGAGGTGTAACAAAATGTTGGCTCGCTACATCAAGCGGAAAGAGGGTAGGTCGGGTCACAGGCTAGGACGGCTGACATCGAGGGATTAAAACGTGTCGAATGGATGTGGGCGATCTGTCGGGACCGGCAGGATTGGTAGGGAGCGGATCCATCTCGGTTGCGACGGGTGTTGGTATTATCGCCAACGCGACATCCGCCACCCCAGGGTGGTGGACGCCTACGTCGACGATCACATCGGCAGCGGCCAACACCGACGTGGTGAGCCTTATTTTTTTTCTCTCGATCGTTAGTCCTAAAAAAAATGAAGAGGACATGTAATTATCTTGATCAATATAACGTCAATCTATTTTTGACATATCGCACCCCGAGAAGAATACTGTCACAACTCAAAAATTCACAATTTTCAAGAGAAAGGAAAAACAAATTTAATTCAATTTTTTTTAGTTGTGAAATAACTTAAGTTATGCAATTACAGTTATGATATTTTGTGATAATGAAACTTGTATACTGAACGAGATACTGAAGAAATCTGTTGTGATTTACTTGTCAATTCACTTGTGACATTATTCATTTTGGAAATCTCGACATAAACTTTGAAAGAATAATGACATTTCTGCCCTGTGCAGCGGATTTTGTATATAGGCTTGTGACATTATATATAGCACGTCACATTTTAGACACTTTTTATGGGCTTAACTCAAAGTCAAATTTTTTGAGTTGTGACAGTATTCTTCTCGGAGTACAATATGCAATTTGATATATGCAATACCTTTTTTTTTCCAAAAAAAGCGGGCACTAGCTGTGTATTCACTTATAATAGAATGACGAAAAAAACTTGAATATTTGTAATATTTATATTAATAATGTCGTAAGGTTAATCGTCGAACGAGAGAGATCCACGTGTCAGGTGGCATTTACTATAAATTACGGTCTTTCTTATTATTCAAATATGGTATTTCTGTGGCATTTAGTGTGCTTAATTGCGGGTCTCGCGTTTCAATTAAATTACAGTGTCTTTCGCGAACTGATCGGGTTGGAAACACATAGAAATCGCGCGAGTTTACGCTCGTCATCGTTAATCGCTCAACGGGTTGATTGGTATTTACACGAGGCCGGATTATTCTAAATCGCTAACCGAGAGGCCTGGAAATAACGGAATCGAGGGAACGATGGGAACCCCGAAAGAGAGGAGAAACGTGACGTCGTACGCGACGTAAAAAGGCCATCATAACATAATATCGGCACGTTCTCCTCTTCATTCAGCGTCGCTCGTGACGGGCACTTAATGAGATGATTCTCGTGTGTGGGACGTGGGTGGGCGACGGGAAGGATTCAAACGGATGCTGACCGTTCCCGTAGCGATGCAGATTACCCGCAAAATGCGGAGAAGAAGCGGCACGGATCGGGAGGAGAGCAGCGCGTTATTTAGTCCCGTCCGGCGTCCCGATGTGTGGCGGTCTGTGGCTGCGGGGATTAGAACCAAGGTGACATAGCCGCGTCATCTGTTGGACGTTTAACCTTTTTTGCCTCCTACCTCGGTCTGCACGTCGCTGCTCCTCGCCGTCATTTCCGCGAGAAGTCATCAGCCCGTACCGCGCGCATACGTTCCCAGGTTAATGAGATCGAAAGTCGTTTTCGAATACCCGCGCGCCACAGCCTGATGGTCTGCGTTTCAGCGTTCGCGCCGATCGGCAGAAATCTCCGTCAGCCGGGATATTTGCGGAGAGGCTGCCGATTAATTTTTATCCCGCGAAACGGATGAAAAAAAAGCGATTGTATTTCCGCGCGGTATCACGCGGCGTTTACCGGCATCGATGTGGTAATTTGTTGGAGTCGTTACGTCGAAATATACTTCCTTTCCCTCGAAATAGATGGACGAATTTAGGTCGCGCGAAAACCTCACCGCAAGTGCTTGCTCGCGTAATCGTTTTGTAATCAAATTCCGTGTACGATGAACGCGGTGCCTAAATCCGTTCGATCCGACGCGATATAAACTCGCACGAGCTGCCGTTATCCCGCGTTAATACATGCGTTCTCGAAACCGAATCCGGAGAGGCATCATTAAGCGTGGCTGTTCACCATCCGTGCAAATCGCGCAACAAACCGAAATATTAATGAATCGTAAAATTTACTTGTGAAAGTTATAAATGACCGCGAGCGACGTCGTCCCATCTGGCCGCGCGCGACGCGACGCCCGCGTGACGGGTGAAGAGGATTTCGAGCAAGCGCGCGCGTTTCGATCGTCCCCGACGATTCCCACTCGCGTAAACGTGAGCGATCAATTTCTCGTCGGGTTACGACAGAGCGGCGGCCGTTACTTTAACGCGCATTCTTTTCGTGTTGGAATCAGATCCGCGCGAACAGAGTCGCATCCTCGCACAATCCGCGTGTTCTCGACGCTCCGCGCCTTTCTCGCGACGAGCCGAGCGCCTCCAGGCCGCGAGGGAGCTGTGCGGTCTAGTAATGACTGGCTAACTAGGTTTTAATAGGAAGGCGATTTCTCGCGGCGAGAGAATGGACCCCTCGCTGATCCTCGCGCGAACGAAGAGAAAGAGTCCTTCTCTCCCGCACGACGTCACCGTCGAGGATCCTTCACGCGGAGCAGATGCGCGCTCGCGCTGATTGGCGGCTACAATACGCGCGCGGATCGGCCGCGATCGCACTTCGCACTGTTCGACAACAGATTGTAGTCGGATTGTAGATAATATTAATGCGAGATCGTATCCGAGAATCCTCTGGATGACCTCAGATCGCAATCGATTGTGAAAAAAAGCCAGAGAAATAAATTTCTTTTTTTGATAAATGAATTGTCACTTTATTTTTAATGTAAAGTAATGCAAAATGGAGAAAATAGCACGTTTAAATAATACGTACCGTGAGGAAATAATATAGATTCGCTGGTCAGTTTTGAACATAATACAGATAATGTAATTGATCTAACGATTTGAAAATATTATCACACACATAGATTTTTGATTTTTGTAATTCGTTTTATATGCGTAAATTGGATCATAGACAATATCTTACAAGCATTTTATATGTTAGTTTACGATATATCAGATAAAATCTATAATGCTTATTCAGACAAGAACTTGATTCAATTTTGTGACTCGCTTTAATCGGCATTGAAGAAGATATTAATAATTAATCAATATTTTACACATGCAAGTAAGTTGATAAAAATATCGTTCTTGAGGGTTATTTATATATTAAAAGAAAATACTGAAAAGAATAATACATTTGGGTAATTTTAGATGTTATTCGTTCAAAAATCGAGGTGTAAAAAAAGATATTTATTAAATCGTTTTGCTCTTTTTCGATTATGATTTCATAAGTGATATCTTGTATCGAAAATAGAAAGCTTCGGCCGTATCCTATCACAGTGCTCTTCGTTGTTCCGATCTTGCGTTTCGAGAGCGTGCATTAGATCGAGAAACCCTTCCGTGATTGGCAGATATTGTACGGGGATCAGGCGCGATCGTCGGGCACATACTGAACGTCCTCAGGTCCCGAGCGTAACCACATGTCGCATCTTTTTGTTGCAGATGAATCAGCTCTGCAGGGTTTGCGGAGAGCCGGCCGCGGGTTTTCACTTCGGGGCCTTCACGTGCGAAGGCTGCAAGGTCAGTATCTTCGCGTCGCCATTCTTCCACGGCTATTCATCCGTATCATTATTCTCTGGTAACAAAACGAAGGAAGAAAAAAAAACAGGATAAAGGAAGGACTTGCGATCGTTACGCGTTTCTCGCGACGCGAGACATTTGCGCCGAAAATTATGTAAATCGCGTAGAATCGCAAAGGGACAAAGAACATGTCGGAGATGCGATTTTTTATCGTCATTCGGCGATGGTGCGAGGATATCTCGGTAAAATCAGACGATGGCAATTCATTATCAAATTAAAAATTGTTACTAATTGGATCTGCATGCTGTTGTTCAAAGGCTTAATTGTACTTCATAAATTGTACGCGCATTTCTAGCTGAACCTCGCGAAACTTTCGACTGCTGACAATTTAGCTTTACTAACAGGTAGCTAAACGCTTATTTCAATGCGCGTTTCTCCCATACGCCTGGTGTCTAATAAAGCGAAAGTGCAAATCGTTAATCGCGACTGACCAATGCGCGCCCATTTCGCTTTCTGTTGCATAGTCCTTCTTCGGGCGCACCTACAACAATCTGGGTAGCATTTCCGAATGCAAGAACGGCGGCGTTTGCGTGATCAACAAGAAGAATCGCACCGCCTGCAAGGCATGCCGCTTGCGGAAATGCCTGATGGTGGGCATGTCCAAGTCCGGCTCGCGTTACGGCCGGCGCTCCAATTGGTTCAAGATACACTGCCTACTGCAGGAGCAGTCCCAGCAGGCGCAAAATCGCCTGATCAAAGATCCCAAGTCTGCGTACGAGAAGGCGTTTGGCTCGTTAGACGCCGCGAATAACAACAATAACAATAATACCGAGAACACCAGTAACACCAGCGCGAGTAGCATCGTCGGCATCGTCACCACGGCGACCACCACGGCGAACAGTTACCATCATCACCTGCACCATCATCACCATCCGGATCGGTTGCCCAAGAGGGAGGACGGCGCGCTCAGGCCGCCGGATATTCCGGTGCTAAGGTCACCCGACATCCCGCCGAGAACCAGCCAGGAAGCGATTCTGAGGCCGGCCGATCTCCCGAGGGCTCCGCACGAGATGCTCAGGCCCGAGGTTTCGAGGTTTCCCATGTGGCGGGGCCCACCGTTGTTTCATCCAGCGCTCACGCACATGCAGCTGCTGAACGCGCCGTTCTTCCCGTTCCAGCAACGCTTTATCGTACCTTACGTGAATCAAGTGGGTCCACCGCAGATGGCAACCAGCCTGTCGAGCTCGTCCAGCGAGAGCGTCAGCCCGCGATCGACTCCGTCGCCGACGAAGAGAAGCGAGGAGAATCGTGAGTGCCGCGAGATCGACCGCGACCCCGCCGAACGAGACCGATGTCCGAGAGCGGGCTCGATAGAGGTCGCGTACGACAAGAGTCTGACGTTCTTGCGATCCCTCGGGCCGGAACAGGAGGAGCCGATGGACCTCAGCATGAAGGACACACGGACGGACGGACAGGATGTGGACGCTGGCAGCATGGAGGAGGAAGAGGAGGAGAAGTCGAGCAACAGCGAGGAGAATGAGCTTCAACAGGACACCGGACCGCCCTTGGACCTCACCCGGAAGACATGACCTCGGATGCCAAATTGTGCTCGCTAAGTGCTCAGCCAATCGAACTCGATTCGATCGGGAAGGATCATTACCGGTACCGGCTCCGAATCCGCGTGGATAATGGAGCAGTGTCGCCGAGAGCAATTTGTCGAGGAGGAAGGTGACGATCGAAGCCCCTTCCTGCGGTGGAAGAAAAGGAAGAGAAGACGGACGGATGGGAAAATAACGTGAGACGGAGGAAGAAGTGGAAGAAGGAGGCAAAGAAAGGTACGGTGAAGATGAGAATGGAGAAGAACGCGCGAATCACACGAGATGCGGAGAGAGGGTGAAAGAAGGTACAGTTACATCGTAATAACGCGGCGAGCGAGAAGCACGGCCGGGTGTCAAAGGTGCCTCGGCGCAAGAAACGAGAAGGCGAGTCAGGGGGAAAAGAGGAGTAGCCGAATACGATTACGTTGGAACGACACGAGTGGGAAAAGCAGAAGGAAGGAGGAAGGGGTGGGGGAGAGAGCGCGGTCGGCCTACGCTGAAGAAGTGCCGCGCGTAGCCAGCCGGCATAAACGGCTTTACGATCGGCGATCGTCCGATCGATGAAAATTGCTCAAGCCGCTCGGTATTAGCCGACACACAAGTCCCTTTTGCCCGGTCGTACCCCGACGGCAGGTGCACATTGACGAAGCGACCGGAGAATATATCGGCTCGCGATACATTCTCTTTCGTCGGAGAAAACGTACGACGGACGCATCGTGCCTTACCGAAGCTGATGGCGTCAGACTATGCGCGACTCGCGATTCCGCCATTCGTATTGGAGTTTCGTACATATTGTGGACGGGTATATTCGTCGCGTTTGCATTCGTCATTCATCATTCACGCGCTGAATTCGCCAGCGCGGACCGGTATATCGACGAAGTCGAAAGGGCGTGAAACACTACAAATCAATTCATTCGTAGTCGTTCGTGTATAAAAGCTGCGCTATGCGAACGAACGAGGCTACGAATCGCGAATTGTGTGGAAGGGTTCACACATTCGGGCGAACCGACGAATTTCCACTGCTGGATCACGAATCCACGCGAATCCACGAATCATGAATCGCGCATGTCGTAAGCACCAGCTTGAAGCGGTGCCTTAAAAAATAACGGCGGTTGAGAAAAAGAACCGCCGGTGATAGTTTAACGTTAAACGATATGTAACCGTTTACCGTGCGTGGCGTGGCGACAACGCACGGCGGGATGGCCAGTGAGTGCTTCGCGCATACTATTGCGCCGACGAATCGTTCGGCAAAGTGTTCCGAGGCCCGGACGCCGTTCGATCCGATCCGAGCGTTCGCATCGATTCGCGCCAAAAAAGAAAAAAGAAATCGACGGCGATGCGCGAGATGATCGGACGACGATGATCCAGGCGCCGGATAAATTGTGATTCTGCGAATTCCAAGTGCTCTTAGTACGTAACTTATGTATATTTTTCGACAGTCTTGTCGGGACGAACAGGGATCATATCGAGCCCAAGCGCGGGGGAAATCGTGTTCCGAAACGCTCTGATCGTGCCGATCGTCCGCGGTGGGATCCGCAGTTGCGCTCAAGTACAAAAAAAAAGAAAGAAAAGAGAGAAAAGAGGAGAGAGATACGCGGGAAGTGCGGTAGCCAACGATCGGACGATACGCGCGCGAGGCATTGGGCACCGTTTGAGTGTCCGAGTCGAGAGTACGAAAAATGAAATAAAGAATATTGTATACCTGAATGTGTGTAACACCTTTGATCGCCGTTCATTAATATCCCTCCACCGCTCATCGATCCCCCCTCACCCTCGATCTCCGCTACATTCCTAACGCGAGACGGTATTCGATTACTTTCGTCTCCTCGCGCGTCTTTCACATTTCACGTTCGCGCCGCGCGCTATCGAACACGCGCGCGCGTGTATAATATTATAACGTGCGCGCGTAGACGCGTATCATCATATCCGCGATGTTATTTATCCAGCAATAAATTTGTCCGCCTTGATATACTACGCAAAACACGTTTTCTCGATAGTTTCACGCCGACGCGACGCGACGTGACGCGACACCTCGGGAAGAATGATGCGATTCCCCGCGTCCCGGAGTCGAGGACGTCGAAAACGCCTGACAATAAATTTTCTTAAAAGTTCAGCGAGTATATCGATCGTAAGGTTTCTCCCCCTAAGGTCCTTTGACCGGGTCAGCCGGAGCACCGTTCGACGTTTGCGCGCAAAAAAAAGGGACTTCGTAGAAGACGGCGAGGGAAACAAGCGCGTGCGAGCGACGTACCAGGAAGCGCGTATACTTCTCGCATGCGGAAGTTTTATTGCTAATTACGTTATAGTCGTCGAAATCGAGGTGGTTTCCCGTCTCGGCGCGTAATATTCCGCGCACTTGCGAAGATCCCGATAATTTATGAATATCCGCGTCGCCACGAGGAACCTCGACGTGCCGCAATCCTCGAGGAGAGATCACGGCCGGAATTCACGTTTGGCGACACGACCCAAGTCTGTAGAGATTTGTCTTAAAGGAAAGTTTTCGTCTGTTTTAGAACGCGCGCGACCTCCTTCGCGAGGTACATTAACGCATTCTTCGTCGATGTGCCATTATTAGCGATTTTACGATGAAACGCATATGGCACCTTGTGTCTTATGAAGAACACAAATATCTCGATTATCTAAATGTGGTTTTAAAATTGTAATGCATCGGTTTCATCGACGGCATTCCACTTGGTATTATACACCGAACGCTTTGAATTTCAACTGTGCTGGACAATAACGTCCGCTGTAGTATTAATACCTGTTTAATTTATGCATGGCCTCCGTAGGCTTCGCGAGTATTTGCAAAAGATACTTCTCCAAGTTAGACTAGAACGTAATATGTCTGGCAACATAAATTGTGCAACGCGAAACGTGCAAGTTCGCAAAATCGTGTTTGCGGCGCGCAAGCCCCCGGACACGAGATCTCTGTCAATATTCTCGCGGAACAAAATGGCCTTCCCCGCTGCTAGAGCTCTCAAATAGCGCTTAGTACATATTGCGAGCATGTTTTCGCATATATCCAATGAAAGAACAGACGATTCATGTTTTCCATGCTGCGCAGGATAATTAATACTGCAGAGTTTACGAATCACTTAACGCGGTAATAGAAAACGCGCGATTTCTAATTGAACCATTCCAAAATATTTCTTCGTCGTTGAAAATATAATAACCACAGTTATTGCAATTTGCAAATTAATTGCCGCTGTAATGCTGAATGTAAACGTGCCGTGCACAATTTTTTTCTTTCTTGGAAATTACATCGTTCCTAAATGCGATATAATCATCCGAGCGCTTAAGCTTCGGCCCAATAAATTGCACACACAATGCGGGTGGCTGCTTTTAATTTAACGAGCACTTTTATTCTCATCTCGATTCCGGGCGTTTAATTCGCCGACCCTTTAATTCGCCGCGCTTATTACGACACCGGGACCCTGTTATATACGCGATATTAAATAACGCAATGATTCGCGCGCGGCGGTTACAATTATTATCATTACACATTTAATAACGCCCGACGCGAGGCGGGCCGCGCGAGTTATCGTTAGCGCGCGGGATTCCCTTCTCGCGCGGCACGCCATGAGCGAGCCACGTTGGCGAAGGTTTCAACGGTAGTCGCTACTCGAGAGTCGCGTTTCCGCATTTCGATCCCTCCGCAGGGCCTCCTCCTCAACGACGGTCGCGCGTACGCGCGGTATTGACGGCACATATTGCACGCATCTACACCAATATGAGATGTTCGCCCGCATACACCTGCGTATGCGCGTTCAAACTCGTAACCTCGCGACTGTAAAATCGCCGAGTGGATAAGACTGCTGCTGCTTGTGTTGACTCAGGAGAGACAAGAGAAGTCTCACTCGATGTCTATCCCGCGGGCATTTCCTGTCGGGCCCAATTCAGATATTCTGAAAGACGGGCCTTGGCGTGCGCCGAGTAAAAATGCGACGAGAAACAACATATGTCACACGTGGCTGTTCAGGGGCCCGTGTCAGTCAAAATTTGACGATTTTTTTATATCTTGATATATATATGTGTATATTTACTTATGATTGATCACAGAAAATAATAAAAATTTAATTTGTTTTGGGACAAAATTTTTAAGAACTTTTGCAATCAAAATAGTATAACAGTCACAATGAATTATAAAGAGAAAACGGTAGACAAGAATGTAATTGTACCATTTATATCATTTCGTCGAAATCTTGAATTTTTAAAAATATGTAATTATTGTACTGTGGTACTTTTTAATTAAAATTATTAAATATGTAAAGATAAAATTTTTGACGTTGTGACTTTCATGTGCAAGTTTTTAAAATTCATAAATAATAAAAATGACTGAATTAAAATATGCATGATTACTTAAAGCAACATTGTATTTTTTAATATTTAGAGATATATTCGTAAATAGTTTTTTCCAATCTATATTTAGCGAATTCAGGATAACAATAAAATGTCCTATTCTTATAATGGATTTAAAAAAAGAAAAGATCAATTGTGAGCCTCGCTGATGAAATAATACGTATGTCGCATGTCTAGTATGTCGATGACCAAAATTTGTCAAGTCGATAAGGGTCATCGAATCATCAGAAAATATTTAACAGGTACAAGTGTGATCGATCGGTTTAAAACGTATAGTGTCAAAAAGCGCGCTGAGTGCACTTGTAAATCATTAATCACGTCTATCGAGTCGATATTGTCGAAGAATTCGATCATTTAATCATCTTGACACCTTGTCGAACGTAATATCCGAGGATATTCGTCATTCAATCGTCCTTAAAGTTATGCTAATTCCTGCTCTGACTATTTTTTTATGAGTTTTTAATTCTCCTCACGTCGTGTACCATTCATTCTTCATATACATTTCTTCATTCACTTTTCTGACACTAATCAGCCTGAAGACGCGTCTATTTGCGGTTTCGAAAAGACGGTTCTCTTTTATTAGGTATAACAGGATACGGTAACAGGTACATTTAACGCGACAGCGCGGCGCATCGCGCAAGGATCGATATTAATGTCAGCCGTTTTTATTTCCGCACGCAAAATCATCCTCAAAGTTTTACGCTCATCGTAACAAAGTTTTCCGCACCGCGGTTATTTATTGTTGAATAATTTTATAACAATCTTTTACGCCGTATATCTTTCCAGTCGTAAACGTTCTTCGCGCGCGTTTTTGCGATGCGTTATTTATCCGCGGCTGATGCGCGCAACGACGTTATAAATTAACCTTCTATTTATCTATTAATCCGTCTATTCGTACGAAACGTCTCCTTCCGTTATTAATCGAATAAGGCTGCCGTTTGATTACTCTTGGTGTCGCGCGTTGTGAAGCGTCCCGATGTATTCGCTACGCATGGAGATTTCTTGTTTCCCAGTAATTCTTGCGCCATGTCGACCAGATATTTTCGACCTTTGTCGTGCGAATCCTTCTCAGCGGCATGTCGTTTTATTGCCGAGGATGACGCCGGCAAGACGTCCGATTCAGCCGGGACCGTCTCTTCCCATTCACACCTGTCAGGTAATCAGGGTGTTACCGGCGTGTCAAAATAGGTCCCGTCTCGAGGACGTCTCGTGTCGCCAGACGTCTAAAAATCACGACCACGTCATTGCGCGATTATTCGAAAGGGAGAGAGAGAGAGAAGAAGACGCATCTGATTTTCTTATCCTCGCAACTTGAGAACCGTTCGATCTCCGACGTCTCTCGGATTACGAGCGAGCTAGCAGCATAATGGCGTATTTGCTCATTGCCGAGCGTTCTTTTTTCTCCCCTTCGTCTCGCGCCTTCTAGATGGGTTACGTAAATCCCGACGAGAAAACCGTATGATATAGGATAGTCCGGGTTGTCATAAATTAATAAAGTTTTTTCTCTCTTTCTCTCTCTCTCTCTCTCTCTCTCTCTGTACCCTCTGAGAGCGAGAGCGCGAAGGAAAGGAAGTCGGAGACAGAAAAATGGGGTAACCAGAAGCGAGAGACAGACGGATGAACAGACATAAAGGGAGGGACGGGAGTGACGAAGGAGAGAACCCGGAAGAGAAGCAGGACCGGTTGCTTGTTCATTGACGGGGCGAAGGCCCGCTCATGAATGGTGGTGGACAACTCCGGAGAGCCAAGAATAGGATTCACCTTCTGGCGGTCTCGAATTTTTTCGCGTCGCGCTCATGAACTCGCGCGCCGTGTCATGTCGCATCTCCGTCCTTCCTTCCTCACCTCCTCTCCTCCGCCGCTCCTCCGAAGACATAGCTGTAGTTCGCTGTAGACGCTGATTAATGCGCGGATGCTGAGGACAATCTTGATCGAGTCCAGCGAGGGCAATCAGCCTCGCCGCCTTGCCTTGATTTCCGGCAGCGCGTTCCATCACGCGTCCCATAATTCGCGATTGTTTCTGGTACGATCTCCCTGAAGGAAGTTAGTTCTCCCTCGTCACATTAACGGAAATTTGAATGATAAAATTATGATTAATCCATTAGACGTTTACTGAGAATCAAGTATTCGCCAGCGTGAGATCTTTTATTATTCAACAATGACGGTCGAGCCTTCCGCGATTCGAGAGCCATTTATAACGGTAGTAGTCTGATAGAATACAACATCTATGACGAGTAATAGCCATTAAAAGTATAATAAAATTCGCCAGAGGTGTATTTTTATTTCAGTCAGCTCTGACTAAGCACGGCCGATTTAATATTCAGCCCCGCGAAATTCCGACCAGGTT